ATGCAATCAGCTGGTTATCCTTAGATAGAAAACTTTGAATCAATCTGACTGGATGATCTGGTTGAACTGGAAAGTGACCTGATGTGAAAAGTATCGTCACATCAGGGCAACCAGCAATGTTTACATCATGTGGCAACGTTCAGCCAATCATGTTGCGTCTCGTCCCTGACATGAAGCAGATCTGGTTGCTGCTGTGGTCTAACATGTATTCCACTGTGTGAAGCAGTAGAGACTGAGTGGCAATGCGTGATGAAGAACACGGCTTTATTTTACGTCTGACGACGCAGAGACGAACTGTCAGTGAGGCTCTACCGGCGGCATATATAGAAACTTCTGGTTACTCCTAAGAAAAAACAACTTCAGTCCATCAAGGACGTAGATCTTTCACTAACCAGATGAAACATTTCACAGCAGCTGTCTTCCTTTCAGGCCATGAGGAAGCATTAAGCGCTGATCCTCATCTCTCAGCCCTGAGAACAGACGTGTTCATCATGTCTCCCCTGTAATGCGCAGCATGTCTGCCTTTCAGGCTGCAGCGTGTCTGGAGCCAGGAAGCAGCGCTCTGGGCTGGAGGGAGGACAGAGGGACATCAGCCCACGGTTGGGAGGACGGCAACGACGCCTGCAACAGCCACGTTCTGGCTCTGACCTCCCGGTACTCACACACTCATCCATCATCCATCCATCATCCATCCATCCATCCATCCATCCATCCATCATCCTTCTCTTGATGTTTAGAACTAGCTGTTCTGCTCTCAGTCTCCTCTGAATGACTGATCTTCTCATCCCTGAGGACCCGACTCCATATGGAGAAAATACATTTTTTTTAGGATCTTGTTCTTTCCAAAGTGCTATGAACGTAGATCTACCATTAAATAGAAAACTGCCTGTTGATCCTCAGCTGCATCTTTCCCCCCGTTCATTAAAAAAGCCCAGAGATACTTAAATTGTTTGTGAAAGTCCATCTTTTCTAGGTTTATTTTAATAGATCTGTTCCTGTTTCTGCTCTAGACTGCACACGCAGATGAATCTCCAGCTCTGCTTCATCAACGACAGTGAAAGTGAGGAAGAGGAGGAGGCCGAAGGGGGAAAGGAAGCGTGCAACAAGAAGAGCGGTAACTCAGAGGTAACAGTTCTGCAGCCTGATCCGGTTCTATAGAACCGCCGGTCTCTTTCCCTTTAAAGCTTCTGTTTGTTTTTCTCTCTGCTGCCAGAAAAGGACGACACCGAGTCAGAAGAACATCCAGAACCCTGCCGGGCCCCAAGAGCCGCGCTCCAGGGGATTCAGGAACACTCTGAGGAACCTTCGAGATCGACTGAAAACAGACCACAGAAAAAAGGTCAGTTGAATATTTATGATATATGTGGGATAGAAACCATGATGCTACGTTCACACGGTGATTTCAGCAGCTGAGAAGCTTCTGCTTCATCTTGATCTACATTAAGATCAGACAGTAAAGTTCTTCCAGATGCTTCTGCTGCTCCTGTGTTCGATGCCAGAGAGCAGCTTTGCTATATTAGCTGTGATCAGCGGGTAGAAAGTAGTTAGAATCTATGTTGAAGTGAGAAAGTCCTCCTGAAAACATGGTCTGTGCAGTCAGTTCATCCAGATTACCATCCTGCCTTGATGGCAAAAGTACTCACTTTCCGTACT